CCGAGTATATCCGACATAAGTTCACTACGGAAAATTAAAAGGGAAACCTACTTATCCAGATGCAATTAATCCCTACTTGCGAATCACACAGTTTTTCATGCATATTTTCGTGATATAGCCATTCCCCATTCATGTGGGGGATTGTTGGGTGTTTAAGCATTAAAATAGGCTTAAAAGATGGTGAATGGGAAATGGAGGGAAAATAAAATATTTGAGATTCCCTCCTTGACAAAGGGACATTGTCCCATATTGGAAGAGGAAGAGGTTTTTGATGGGTATATAAGCAAATGCTCTTCTTCTAGCTCTTAAAGAGTTAAGAAGAAGGCAAGCCTCACGCCGTCGTCGCTCGCTCGGCTCGGCTTCGGATTCGGATTTGGTCAAATGATCGATTGATTGATTAATTTTTTTGACCAAATTTATTTGTTAATAGTAAATATTAACAGAAATGTTATTAAATATACGTTTTAATAAAAGAATATTAATATTAAACTCAACGGAATATTAAAAGTTTTTTCATTATCCTTTTTTCGTTTTTCGGTTGTGTAACTGAAAATTAACCTCCCTCTTGAATTCCCGGTTTATTATTGCGTAAATAGCCATTTATGCTATGACCGTTTTGCATAAACAGCCATTCTGAAGAGTTGCACCTCTTCAGTTTTCAGCCTAACATTGGCTATAAATACAAGTCCATTCTCTCAGATTTTCCATACGATTTTCTGAGTTCTCCTCCTTTCTTCTGCATACTTTTAACTTCAAAGAAAGCAACAGTAAGTGTGATTTGCTACCGAACTTTGTATTCGCTGAAACACTGGGGTTTGAAGTACCACTACACCAGTGTGTAATTCGTTCTATCCTGGGAGGAAATAATCCATAACCTTGGGTACTAGGAGGGGATTAAATTCCTTAAGGAAATACTGTGAATTCAGTGGGCTCGGATTAACTTTTGTTTGGTTTATATTTTCTGTTTATATATTATTCTATCTTTTTCAGAATTAGTTTACAAATACAGTTTAATAACAATACAGCCAATAATAGGAGAATCTGCCACTCTCTACTTTTTGTCTAGTACGATTTTGAGATTAAATAGTATAGATTTTGCCATATATGTGTGATTGGAAATATTTAACGATTCAGGTTGGTTTACATGAGTTGTTTTCGTGAAGACTAACCGTTGGATATGGATTAATCCGTCTCCTGCAAAAAATAATCTTGCTGACAAAAGAGAAGGGAAAAAAGATACTTAAAATATTAGTCTCATTACTAATAACTTTTGTTGATTTGATACAAAGTTAAGTTAATTACTTGGTACCCTCAATTTAACAAAATCCCACCCAAGAACCTTCATCTCCTTTACCTCTTTTATGCAATAATAGCGACTTTCACCTTTGGTTTAATATAAATCCCATTCACATATTTTGCTTGAGTTCCAAGATGTTTCTCTTATCCTTTCACCTGAGGACATTGACAACGATTAACCAAGATATCATCCTGAAGCACGTGATATTCATAGCTATGTTGCATGGATCCTTTATTTGTCCAACGAGCGTGACAAGGGTGCAGGGGCGTGTCCAATGCAGATGTTACCCGTCGATTTTGCTCATACCCTATACTTTTGCATAAAAATCATTAAATATGTATGACAATTAAATTTAAAACAGATGGGACGTGGTAAAATTGCAAATTTGAACCCATAAAGTTCAATACTTTGTGATTCTTCAAAATATACTAAAACTTAGCAAGAAAATTGATGCATTCATATCAGATACTTCCACTAAACCGTACCAGATACGTACCCATATACGAGTCCGAGCAACATATATTTAGTAGCATATTGATTTGGCTTATGATGAGTGTTAGAACTTAGAAGCTTCTTATTAAGTTTCACCGACAGAGGGAAGATATGACAAGAAGATAACTACTCCCTCCGGTCCAAAATAAGTGATTTTTTGGCCTTTTTTTTGTGGTCCAAAATAAGTTATTTTTCCAGATTTCAAGAACGAATTAATTATTTTTTTCCTACATTGTCCTTGGAGTAAATAGTGTTGGAATATGTGTTAGGAGTGTTTATGTGAGATAGTAAAGGTTAATATGATCAATTCCATTGCTAATTAATGCTAAAAGGTAGATTTCTTAATCTGTGTGAAAACATCCAAAAAATCACTTATTTTGGACCGGAGGGAGTACAAATTTCCAGCTCAGATCAATCACTAGTTACTCAATGCACTGCTTTTGTACAGACTAACTTTTATTTGGTGCAGTGGCTCATGACCAATGAGTTGTATCCTCTGTCTCAGCTGAATAGACCACACATAACAACAACAACAAACCCAGTAGGGTAAGATATACGCAGTCTTATCCCTACTCCTGGAAAGGTAGAGAGACTGTTTCCGATAAACCCTTGAATATACCACACCCATTGCATAACAATACCAAAGTTGACAGCCCCTAAAAAATCCTTCTTTTAAATGTTCTTTATTATCCATTTCTTGGACTCAAATGTGCAAATTATAAATATCTTTTGACTGCTAATGATGATATTATTTAATAACATCCTCCACTTTCTGTCTTCTTTCAACCTTTCATTTAATTTGTGTATCAAAAGCTTGAAGGGATCTTTCTTTATTTCATAAACCAGTGGGCCTACAAAAGAAGCAGAATAAAGAAATCTTTATTAGTCCAAAATGAAGATGGTCCCCTTTTAGTTCTCTTTCTTGTTACTGCTATTTTAACGGAGTAGGTACTCTAATTAAACAAGTGTGCTGTTTCTGGCTTTCTGCAATCAATTTGAAGAAAGGTATCAGAATCTTGTTGTGAAAGGAAAGGAATATAAAAAACACCGAGCATGTGGATTGTTGGACAAGATATGTGGTCTTAATGTACTTAAAGAGAAGTATATCAAGTTAGAATAAAGTAGCCAAAGTGCTTTTCTATGCAACTTGCTAGAGGTTCTGCTTTAAGAAAGGAGTGGGGCAGTATAGTATTTACTGAAAAAGTTCATTGGAATAGTAATATTGCTCATGTTGCCAAAATATTCTTTGACTCACATATAAAGGTGTGGCGTAATAGTCAATAAAGTAGAACTAAACCACGAAAGATAAGGATTCAAATACCAACAAAGACATTAAACGCTCGGTGATTCTTCCTATTTGTCAAAGTATTGATGGACAGAATTATCTAGTACCGTTACTAGGGATAACAAATACACTGAAATATTTGAAGTGCGTGCAAGCAAAAGCAGATCCAAAATTTTAAAGATTGCAGGTGCCGCTCTTTTGGTAAGCAGTATACCTACTTCTAGCCACAAAGACCAATAGAAAGGGCCGAACCGGTGGCACTCGTATTACGTTTGTGAATTGCGGGTGACACTTTAACTATATACACGTTTCAGCCTAGATATATACTTACATATTCAAAATCTTAGCTAAAGCGGGGGGGGGGGGGTGGGGGGGGGTTGCCGTACCACCCCGAACTCCCAGGTAGATCCGCCCCTGCGTGCAAGTTGGCCCAGCACCACTTTTATTAAAAAAAATCTTTGGCTCGGTGAGGGAGGGCCTATGTATAAATGAGCCATATATGCTGGTTTGCACTAGGATTTTAGTGATATACTGCCAACAGCAAATGGTGAGGGTAATACCACCAAAACAGATAACACCAATAGAAAGTGTTTATAATGAGGGAGAAGAGAACATGAAATCAACAGTAACAGCACAACAGAACAAGGAAATTAACTTTTCATTTGACCTCTTATGCAATTGCAAGTTCTTAAAAACCATTTCATCAAAAAGAAAAGTTTGAATAATCATACTCCTATTATTTAAAACACTAGAAGGACCAGGTTGCAGTTTTGGTTAGATGGTGGAAAATAGTATGTAAAAGTAGGAGGAGCACTAATTAAACAAATTAGTACTGATTCTTTAAAGTAGTGTTTCCTACTCTTGAACTATCACAAAAGCTCATCTTTTGTAGTCTCCTAATCATTAGATCATTTGACCTTAATTTCTTAATTCCAAATTCCACTTCATTTGGAAGGTGATTTCCCACTTCTTAAATTCACTTTATCAAACCAAAAGATCATAATATACTCCCCACTTTTGTGGTATCCACTAACCAATAAAAAGTGCAGCTCGGTGTATTAAGCTTTCGTTATGCGTGGGGTTCCGAGAAGGGCCAGACCACAAGGGTCTATCGCACGTAGTCTTACCCTGCATTTCTGCAAGAGTCTGTCTCCACGGCTCGAACTCGTGATCTCCTGATCACATGACAGCAACTTTATCAGTTACGTCAAGGCTCCCCTTAGTATCCACTAACCATTAAGCATCTCAAATATGGAAAGACCTTTTCTTTTCTTAATAACAATGGTATCCAGGTCCAGTTTTCGCACACCTTGATTACTCAACCAGAGCAGCCACTCACCAAAACAGGATATCGAATAACTATACCACGACGACTTAGGCAGATGAAAAGAACTAATCAAAATTTAACATTGAATAGTTTAACACCAATGACAGGCTTCGATGAACTATTTGCTGAGAAAGATCAACCATCATTCCATACAATTGAAAAGAGGAGGAACTAAATGATGGACTTACTTTTTTGCTTATCTCTTTCTGTTTGAAAAATAAAAGAACATAGAGAGAGCGCATCAAATATCCCGAGAAGTTAAAATTTCCAATATTAAGAATCACGCAACATAAATATATATGAAATATAACTAAACTTTCAACAAAATCGAAATTTTGATGTATTCAGTGCTATGAACTTTAAAAGTTAAACAATCAAATGTAAATCTTGAATCCGGCATTGACTCAACATTTATTAAGACTAAGCATTGGATTACTATCCATGTTGGTTGCAGGTCTACTTGTGCATTTAAGAAGTGGAAAATGAACTGGACTATTGAATTCAATGTCTTCCCTCTTAATGCCAATTGCCTTTTTCTTTTCTCTTGTTAATAATGATGAGCTAAAGAACAAATGAAATGAATTCTGAATTAGAGAATACAAATGCAAGCTGTAATAGTGTTTCTTCTACAGAGCTGAAAACAAGAAACTACAAACTAAAACTACCATAATTTTCTTTAAGCAACTTTACTTGACTTATTGCTATCATTATCAATAATCAATAATATTAACATGTAATAGTTCTGAGCCTTCTAGCTGAACGGTGGCAAATAGGCGGTTTGGGCTTAACTTGGGCTAGTTCAGCTTGAACCTCCTATAGCTCTGAATTTATCATGAAAGGAATATATGCTTTCAACATCAAACACACTTGAAAAAACAGCAAATGATCAATCAGGGCGAAGAAATAGATTATTGAAAAAAAAGGCAGCCCGGTGCACTAAGCTCCCGTTATACGCGGGGTTCGGGGAAGGACCGAACCACATGAGTATATAGTACGCAGTCTTACCCTGCATTTCTGCAAGAGGCTGTTTCCACGACTCGAACCCTGACCTCCTAATCACATGGCTGCAACTTTACCAGTTATGCCAAGCTCCCCTTCAATGAGCAGCCCTCTTTTGGTTCCTGAGCTTCGTAATATGAACTAATTGAAGCATATCTTGTTCTTGGCAGTGTCATTTTTGTGCTTTTTCTTAAAGAACATGAAATTGATTTTGAGTATTCTCCAAACTGATCACATGGTATTGTACTGAGCAAACTGGAGTCCCTGTTGAATAACACTATGCATGCCATTTTCATGCAACTTTAGACCATATGTCTTGAATGCTATATCTGCTTCTTGATTTGGCAAATTATACTCATATAAAGCTTGTTCTTGAGGAGAAGGAGCAGATTCGTGAGGAGATATAGACGATATATGATTCTCTGGCGAAGGCGACTTCATTTCTGTAAGATTGACAGTGGTAATATCATGTATACTTGATCTTCTCTTATCTTTACCTCCAGAAAGTTGCCTTATAAAATACTTCTGAGCATGACTTGCTACTTGTGTTGGTGTCCTTGTGGTCACATAATTGCGTGAAATATTTCTCCAATCTCCTTTTCCATACTTTTTTAGCCCCAACAGAAATTGCCTGAGCAAAACGTAGTAAACAATATCAATATTGCAAGAAACGGAATCATCTATAGAATAGAAAACACTTGATGAATTGCAGTAGTTTGAAGGGGAGCCGCGGAGCAACGGTAAAGTTGTCTCCGCGAGACCTATAGGTCATGGGTTCGAGACGTGGAAGTAGCAATTAATGCTTGCATTAGGTTAGGCTGTCTACATCACACCCCTGGAGTACATTCCCCGGACCCTACATGAACGCGGAATGCTTTGTGCACCGGGCTGACCTTGATGAATTGCAGTATTAAAAGGACAGCCCGGTGCTCTAAGCTCCCGCTATGAGTGGGGTCCGGGGAAGGGCCGGACCACAAGGGTCGATTGTATGCAACCTTACCTTGCATTTTTGCAAGAGACTGTTTCCACGGCTCGAACCCGTGATCTCCAGGTCATATGGCAGCAACTTTACCAGTTACGCTAAGGCTCCCCTTGAATGAATTGAAGTAGTCTGAATTCTAAAAGCATTTAATTTTACAAAACTATGATGACATATAGTTTTGGACTTGCATTATTAAACTGAACTTTATAATCATTTTGAACCATCTTTAGTAAAATACATAGAAGTGACAATGTTAAATTACAAAGTTGAAACATGACTTTTTTTTTATGCTAGCAGAATCAATTACCTGTGTTCTTCCTCAGTCCATGGCACTCCCTTTTTCCTTTCATGTTCAGAAGATCGCGTTGATGGGTTTCGCTTCCCAGACGGACCATAGAATCGCTTGTTCAAGTCGTGGAAGTCGCCTTCTTGATCGTGATTAATCCACTCCAATGTGAAAGAATTAGTACTAGTTGTATATCCAGGTAATGGTATTAAACCTGCCTCAATATCACTAATATCTTCTACTAATTCTCTATACTGTTTGATCACATCATTCACTGTTTTTCCAGGGATCATTGCTGCTACATTATACCATCTATCTGGTGTTTCCTTATCAAATAAAGCTAATGCATCCTCAAACCTCTTGTTCTCTTCAGTTGTCCATTTTGTTGTTCCCTTATTTTCCTCAAATAACCAATTTGAGTTTCTAAGGTATGTTGTAGTAGGAGAAAGAAATCCTATTTCACTGCTCATGTTTTCTTGTTCATAGAAAACTAGAGAGGAAATGATAGGAGAAGTTGGGGTGGTTGTTTATGGCCACACTGGCATTTTAATTATGTAGTAGCATTTGAGGGGGGGAATCTGAATAAATTTTTTTGACAAGTTGTAGCATAAGGTGAGGAATCTAGAAAATGGACCACCCCAACTTTCCAAAACCCAAGGAAAATTCAGGACACTGTAGAAAAAAGTAGATCTTGCTAGTGAATGATTAGGAATTTGAACTCTTAAGCAGATCTATAGCTCATATGAACATCTATAATATAAACTACATAAGTCTATGAGAAGCTACATATAAAAAAATAAGTAGATATTATATATATATATATATATATATATATATATGTGTGTGTGTGTGTGTGTGTTGGTGAATATAATTGTCTCCAAAAGTTGCGGTGGAATGGTAAGTACTCCTTCATACTTAATCAGAGATCTCGGTTCGAGCCTTGGACATGAAATCGCCTTTGTTACGAAGCGTTTTACACCCCAATATGAGACTTTCCAATGCGAATCTGAATTTAATCGGGTTTCAGTGCAGGTACGGAGCAAAAAACATAAAGTCATATAGATGAAGTTCTCAAAGCAATGTATCTGTATTTGCTAGTACTTGCTAGAATTCCACTGTACAGGGCAGAAAATATAGAAATAGAGAGATTGAGTCAAGGATATTGTGTCGAGATATCATTGGTTTATACTACTAAGACAAAAAGTACAACCTGTCATTGGATATTGGTGCCTATTGAGTATTTTTTCTCTTTCCTGAGATTTTGGTGAAGGTTTATTGCTCAATGTATAGGCATGAAACAGCTAAAAAAATGTCTCTCCAATTCAATCAATGTCTAACAACATGTAATGCCAATATATTGATATTTAATAACCAACAAGGGTTGTGGTAGAGTGGTAAGTACTCCTTCATCCTTAACCAGAGGTCTCAAGTTCGAGCCCCTGGGTATAGAGTCGTCTTTGTTAGGGAGCGCTTTACACCCTAATATGGGACTTCCCGGTGCGAATCCGGATTTAATCGGGCCCCAATGTGGGTACCGGACACCGGATGAGAAACCAAAAAAATATATGATATTTAATTCGGGATTTGAATTCTTATACATTTGTTTATCCATATTATATTAAAAGCTAGAACGCCTTTAGCAAAATGTCGTTCGCCTTTTTTACCCTTAAAAATAGATTTCTCATTGGACAAATTGTAATTAAATTATTATCCTAATATCGACTTTGCTTTAAGTAAATTCTTTCCTTATGTACTTCAAAAATAAGTTGTTTCGTCTATAGTTATTTTTGATTTGCTTTATATTAGTTTAGGTTTGGTTTATATAAAGGTTGTAGATTCCCATTTAAATCCAAAGAATTACGTATAAAAATATTAATGCACAACCTAATATCAAATTCTAGATAAACTTTCAAAAAGACAATCGACAATTGTATTTCAAATATGCATTATTTAGTAATGTTTATATAATATTAAAAAAATAACATATAGTAGTACATAAATGTGTTACCATAAGAAGAGCATTGGAATAAAAGACATCAGAAAATATAGTAAACTGGTAATAGTATAATATTAAGAGTCGAATTTATAAAAATACAAACTTGAAGCAATAAGGATTAACTATTAGAAGAAAAAATATATTCTAAATGTGTTTTCATTAATTATTTTTCTTTCTTTTTGCATTCAATTCCAACAAAAGATAGTTACTTATATTTTTAATAAATTAAGTTATTATTGTAAAATATTAACTTAATATTAGTCATTTTTAGATTTTATATTTCCAATTATCAATTTTTTTCTAGGAGCTATAAGGCCTACTTCTTCATTTTTAAATCTCTAGAAAACCAAAAGAATTTAAAAAATTGTGTTATGTGGCAAATATTTGAAAGATCATGGTAAAATTACTTTTGTGTTTTTTGTTTATTTCATTATTAGGTCGAAGAAATAACAATAATTTTCATAAGGTATTCCTATATAAGTCCTCGAAAATCAGAGTAACACATCTAAGGACTTCTATGAATATTCTTTTTTTCAATTGAGCTAGCTAAATGGGATCAACATTCATCATTTTGAGGAACTTATACTTCTTTAATTATACGATTTTTAAATTTGTGTATTCAATAATATAGGGTACACGCGCAAAGCGTGTACCCTAAGACTAGTCTGATAAAATGTGAAGGGGTCGCTAGAAGCAGTGTCAGAGCCAAAATTTTCAGCAAGGGGTGTAAGAATATAAAAAATTATCGAAAAGTTAAAGGCAGTCTACATATAGTAAATATATATTAAAAAAAGTATCTAGCAATACTGTGTAATTTTCCGATGAAGGGGTGTCAATCGACATCCCTTGGTTGAATATGGTTCCGCCGCCGGCTAGGAGTATTATATAATTGGACTTGCAGGACCAAAAAAGAAGAAAAAAAAAAGAAAACTGCAGGAATAATAAAGCAAAAAGAAAAAGAAAAAAAGAAAAGAAAAGGGAACTACAAGAAAGAATGACATACCTAGTATGATATAGGATGGTTGGCTCCAACTGTACCTATTAATTGGCAGCATTCCTTAAGTTAATTTCCTCTAGTTTTCTTTTATTTTCTCCACATAAAGCATAGATTATTTTTCACCTTTGATCCCTCTCACTATTATAGAGGGTTGTTAGCTCCTCCAACTGTACCTATTCAATTGGTAGCATTAATAAAATAGACAAACACTTCAACTAGAAAATGAACAGATGAAATGTCCATTTCTCACATACAACTAAAAAAAATGACGACATGAAAGTCTTTTAGCACTTGTATCGTTTATCTTTACAACGTAAATAACCTTTATTTTCAGGCAATAGTTAGTTAACCTTTGCAATTTGAGGAGCATATCCGAATCTTGCATACAAAAAAAATCTTATTTTTCAAGAAGTAATTGTTTAACCCCAGAAGATTGACTAGTGTGCAAATTAGGCTTTCTTTGTTTGTATATGTAGCGCCTTGGATTGTATTCGTGTGATCTATGCGTCACATGTTTGAACCGTAAAACAGTCACTAAAATATTTGTTTTAGGGTGAAGTCGATGCATAACATAGAATGCTTTATGCATTGAACTGTCATTTTATATGTAATATTGGAAATCTTGATTTTCTTAGGAAATAGAAAAGCATATGCTGTTGGCATAAACTATATGCTTGTTTTCCAATTTCAAGAAGATGCTTAATGACTAATCTCCAACTCTGTGATGGGTATGCGGGAAATGAAAGAGAGTAGTATTTTAAAATTTTAAAAATAAATATGTGACTCCTATAAATAGAAAGATTCTTTGTTTACCATCTTTCCCAAAACAATGCATGTGATTACGAATGGATGAGCTCATGTGGGCAGCATTGCAACTTGCAAAAGTTACCAAACCACGTAGTCTACAAAGAGGAATAATTTTCTTTGCTAATGTTTCTGTGGTCTTATTAAGTTTACGGGTCAAAAGCTGATGTTGATGCGTTTATGTAAAAATTGCACGGGGCGTCCTATTTGGTCGCCTTCATTTAATCTATATTCATTCTTTTAAAAGTTTTAATTTGTACCTACTTTTTAAATAACTTCAGCCACATTTCTCCTTCTCCTTCTCCTCCTTCGTTTTCTTCTTCTTCTTCTTCTTCTTCTTCTTCTTCTTCTTCTTCTTCTTCTTTCTTCTGCTGCTGTTGGTGCTGCTATGAAACTTCAGTTCATGGGATGATTGTCATAAGTATGTTTATCAGATTATTTAAAAATAAATTATAAATAATTACGTAAGTTAGCAGACAATAATTTGTGAATATTTCCACGTACGGAAAATTTAAGGTCACACTTAGTGATTCTTTTCATGATAATTCTGTTCTTTTCACATTTATTGTTTCAAAAATTTATGATTTAGATACTGTTGGCAATCTAATTATTTTATAGTAGTAATACACTATGAAAGAATTATGTGATTATCTATCTAGTATGTTCGAAAGCTTTTGCATCTTCTACTGAAGTTTTTGAAAAAGCTTTATGACAAAACTACTGAATCCAGGACAAAAAAACTTCAGCTTATTTAGTGTTGAAGTTTTTACAAATAAACTAAATAACTTCAGCATCTTCTGCTGAAGTGTTCTAAAAAGCTTTTATGACAAAACTAATGAATCCAGGACAAAAAAACTTCAGCTTATTTAGTGCTGAAGTTTTTACAAATGAACTAAATAACTTCAGCATCTTCTGTTGAAGTGTTTGAAAAAGCTTTATGACAAAACTAATGAATCCAGGACAAAAAAACTTCAGCTTATTTAGTGCTGAAGTTTTTACAAATGAACTAAATAACTTCAGCATCTTCTGCTGAAGTCGTATATGCCTTTGCTACTTCAGGCCCGTCTACTAAAATGTTGAAGTTTTTATGCGTGATTGCCTTTGCTAAAGCTTTAGCCCGTAATGCTGAAGTTACGCGAAAAAGTTGCTACGCTTGCAATTTTTTTGCAAAAGCGGGCACAAGTTAAAACGTTGACGCAAAAAGCGGTATAATGCAAATGTCCCTGCGTTTTTACGGTGAAATAAAAATAGCCACAATTTTAAAAGTAATCAAAATTTAGCCATTTTTATGTAAAGATAAATCTCAACGAAAACACTATTCAAAATCTGGGAAAATATTTTCAGCAATTATAGGAGTTCTAGATAATACTAGAGTTCCAGCATAATATACTGGAGTTTCAGTATAATATACTGGTCCAGCATAATATGCTGAAAGTTCATACACAGGTACTCCAATTCTCCAGTATATTATGCTGGAATTTCCGTGTGTTGGAGTCTAGCATATATGCTGGACGTTCATACACAAGTGCAGTGACGTACGGAGGATTTTCATAAGCGGGTCACGATTTTAAACAGTAAACAAATAATAATTCACTATAACAACATATAAAAAATATAATTTGATAATTATTTATAAAACACAACACAAATTTTGTAAACGACCCGGTCGTTCGTTCTGAGAGTTTATAGCTCCTATTCCCCATCTATGCTTATTTATGTGTTGTCCAGTTGTGTTGAGTTGAATATCGAGTTGGTAGATTTGGTTCGGGTAGTTTTGGAGTGAAATGAACACTTTGTTTCTTAGGTTAGAAAGCTAAGTTTAGAAAAAGTCAACTGAAGTTGACTTATGAGTAATCAAATTCGGATTTGGATTTTATGATTCGATTAGATCTTTGGGTGATTTAGACTTAGGAGGTGTGTCCGGAATGTAATTTGGAGGTCCATCGTAGAATGAGGCTTGAATTGCCAAAAAGTTGGAAGTTTAGAA